CATCATCTTCCTCGGGGCCCACCACTCTTTCCTCACGATCAACAAAACCGGGCAGCCCCACCACTTTTATTTACAAAACGCTTGGTCTCTATCACTATTCGTTTCCACTCTTTCTTTTTTTTCTTCTTTTTCCCTTCTTTTCTACGTTCTCACGATCGGACTTGGAGCTTTTTCAACGTTTTATACATTCGGTGTTTCCAATTTTTGTCCGTTCATATAAATTGAACCAAAACCAAGTCCATTTAATACTAACCATTTATTTATTTGAAGATTAAATTGTAAAAATTGCTTATAATGATGACCAAAACGTGCCTTTTTTTGTTTCTGAATTAAAACAAATTCCATTTAAAGGTCGACATGCCTTTAACCTTTCGAAAGTTGAATATCCACATTAACTTTATACCACTTACGTTCCCATCTATCAATATCAGAAGTATTACCACTTTGTATACCAGTCGATTTCGCTTAACCCTACCATTTTCTCTTCAGCCAACAAAAACAAGCAGAAATAACCGAATTTTATTCGATTGATTAAGGGCGTTGTTGAAGGCCTAGGAAACACTAACTGAAAGGATCCAGCAAGGGTATGGAAACAGCAAAGGGGAAGAACTAGCAAATGTCAGATACGGCTGAGGGTTATGAAACAGCTAATGGCAGGAATCAGGAAGGGGTTGGAAATAGCAAAGGACATAAACCATTCAGGGTCAGGAAACTACAAATAGTAGGAAATAAAAAATGGAGGAATTACCAAAGACCAGGAAAAATATTGACAGGAAAAGCAAGGAAGAGGGTGCACCAAACAGCAGGAATTATTAAGAGCCAGGAATCTAGAAGGGCCTGGAAATAGCAAAGGCCAAGCATTAAGGTTCAAGAGCAATGGCTGGAACCACCAATGGCAAAAACTAGCAAATGGCAGTAATCGCAAAGGGGTATGAACGACAAAAGGACTCGACACATCAAAGAGCAATAACCACTAAGGATCTATTAGTATGGCAAGGCGACACCAAGGGCAAAGAAACAACAAGGTGAGGGAATCAGCAAATGGCAGGACCCTCGTGTCAGGAAACAGCAACGGTCAGGGTCAACGAAGGGCCAACAAAAAGTAAATGGCAGCAATCGTCAAGGGCCAGATAGAACGTGTCAACAGGGAACAGCAAGGGACACGAAAGAATCGCCAAAGGCCAAGAAACAACAATTGAGAAACCACCAAGGATCAGGATGTACCAAAAATCAGGAATCATAAAAGGCAAGGAAAGAGCTTACTGACAACGACTAGAAAGGGGCGGAAAGATAAAAGGGCAGAATCCCCAAGGGCCAGAGAACAAAATTGACAGGGACCAGAAAGGAGCAAGACCCACCAAAAATCAGGAATCGCCGATGACCAGGAAAGAGCAACGATCTTGTTATCTACGAAGGGGTAAGAAAAGCAAATGGTGGGAATCATCAAGGGCCAGGGAAGAACTTGTTGACAAGGACCAGCAAGGGGAAGAATCACCAAGGACCAAGAAAGAACAATGGAGAGGAAACAGCAAAGGACAGGTACCAGCAAGTGGCAAGAATCGCCAATAGCCAGTAAACACCAATTGACAGAGACCAGCCAGGAGCAAGGCGCACCAAAAATCAGAACTTACAAAGGACCAGGAGGAAACAACTGTGACAGCCACGATCTACGTAGGGAATAAGCAAAGGCTTAGAATTATCAAGGGCCAGGAAATAACAATTAAGAGGAACCAGCGAATGGCAAGAACCAACAAGGGTCAGAAGGAGAAAGAAATAGCAGCTCTGCGTCCATTCTGATTACATTATTCTTCTCTCCATTTATTTTTTATATACCCAGTTACTTCAGAAATAAAACTACCAATTAGCATTTTATTACGTATAGATGCGGGGCACCTGCCTCTCCTCTTCAATCCAGTTTTCTCTTCGGATAGGCCCATATTTATCCAAAACTAGTCTGAAGAGGGGAGGCAGGTGCCCCGAAATGGACTTTTTTAATGAACTTAAGTACATAAAATCTACAATTGATTGTATGATTTACATTTATATTATTATTTAAGTTAAAAATTGTTTGCACGTTTGGTTACGCTATTATGACTGTCGCCAATGTCTTGCAGTGTGGTAGGAAATTAGTCGATTGTAAATTTTACTTGTTACCAACAGATAATTGCTTGGTGGTTAGAATTGTGGAAGCGGTTCGCGTGCCATTAGGTGACCTCTTGGCGGTTTTACAATGCCCGATCTGGTTTAGACTTCCTCTCTTCTTTTTTCATATTTGGCCATTTTACAACACCGGGTTTTCTTCCATGTACCAATTATTATTCTACATTCTGATGAAGCTGATTGCTAATTCAACTGGAATCAATATCTGAATATGATAAGCAATAAGCGAAAAGATGCATACCGTCTTCCCAATCCCATCCACAATGAGTGTATTTTTCCAATGAATTACAAATGTGTACGATTTTATGTTGGCCAATTTGATCGGGATGCATAGGCCCTCGCGATGAATATCGCAAAATTTAATGCACGACTTGCAATTGCCCTCTCTCTCTCCATATCCGGTGTCGTCTCATGCTCTTTTTTTTGAAAGATTGAAAACTAACCGTCCTAAAAACATTCGGACCGGGTATGTCGAGTTTCCGATTCTCTCTGATCTGTAATCCGTATCGACACGGTGTATGTCAAAGTCTGATCAGTGCGGTGATTTCAGGAGTCTAGGTAACCTAAATAAAGATGCTTAAGATTCAGGAATCATTTACATTAACCAGTTTGATTAATATTCAAAGGAAACCACACTGAACCTAGTCATCTTCAGTGGTAGGTTTTCAGTTGCTTATGGTGAAGAAAGACACCCTGAATATCAAATTATTTTTTTAGTTGGTCGTTACCGGTCATTTTGGTCTTCCTATTATCACTTGTTTTGTCTTCGGAAGCGTTGAAGTTTTTAGCCATCACTAGTTTGGATTTAGTTGTTCAGGGTATAAGCAGAGTGAGGCTTGACACTCTGAATATCTAGTAATCTTGTAAGTAGTCGTTAAAGATCATAATGGTCTGCCTACCATTGCTTGATTGTTGTTCACACTTTTAATTATCAGAGGTTACGGAGTGTAGTCGTTCAGGTAATAAGCAGGGTGAGGCAAGACACCTTCAATCAAGGAATATTTTAAGTCTAATGTTACTCATCGTTATGATCGCCCTGTTATAGCGTACAACGCTTGCAATTAACGCCTGTAATGATGTCATCTTGGCCAACTTTAGTGGTGGCTCTTTACTTGGTCAAGGTATAGGCAAGGAGAGGCAAGACACCCTGATTATTAACAAATATTTTATGTTGGTTGTTACCGATCATTTTAGTCATCCTATTGTCGGTTGTTTTGTCTTGAGACATGTTGAAGCTTGAGCCATTTTCAGGTGGATTTTTGTTCACGGTAATAAGCAGGGTGAGGCAAGACACCTTCAATCAAGTTATATTTTAAATGTAAGTTACCATCATTATGGTCGCCCTGTCATAGCTAGTTTTGTCATCAATCCTGTGCAGCTAGTAGTTATCTCTTACAATCATTCGTCCGGTATATAAACAGGGTGTGGCAAGTCACCATGAATATATAGTAATCTTGTTTGCTGTTCACAAGCGTTGCAGCTTTTCGTCAAAACAATTTTTTTAGTTGCTCAGGGATATAAACAGGGTAAGGCAAGAAGAAACCTCGAATAATATCTCTATTAGTCCTTTAATTTGTCCTTTAGAAATCGTTATGGTCTGCCAATCATCGTCGTTTTTTATTCTTACGCTTTTAGGTTTTTCGCCAACTTCAGTGGGTTTTTAATTGGTCAGGTGTGAAGGGGTGAAGCACAATATCTAGCAATTTTCTAATTGGTCGTTATCGATCATTTTGGTCTTCAGACAAATTCCAGCTTTTAGCCATCTTCAATGGTGGGTTTTTTAGTTGTTCAGGGTTATAAGCAGGGTGAGGCAAGATCTGTCAATATCTAGTAACCTGCTAAGCTAATCGTTACCTGTCATTTTGGTTCATTTATTTTCGCTATGTTTTGTCAGTCAGATGATACATACACGGTATCGGCTGTCTCGGTAACATACGCTTTTGGTGAAAGATGAACTTCAGACTTATGAATCATTTACATTAACCACTATGAGTAATATTCAAAGGAAGCCTCCACTGAAGCTAAACACATCATAAAGATATTTGATCATAGTAACTTCATAGTGAAATCCAGATCCTATGTAAAATATTGACGCATCTGATTTCTACTAGCCCGAAGTGGAAAACTCCGAAAAAAATAGATCCTGGGTCTGTAAATCAAGAGAGTGGAGTTTCTAGGCTTAGAGAAGTGGGGAACAGATTTGGCAACGTGCAATATTGTGAAAACGCGCGCCTGGGAGTGCACGTGTTCTGACAGAGAAATCTGTTTTTAATTAATTAAATATAAAAAGGAAGTGTAAGCAGTATTGACTGTAAAAAAAGTTTTAAGAGTGAAAATTCCAATGCAATTTTGTATTAGGAAGGTCTACTACGTCAGAAACTTGAGCAATTATTTAGGCTCAGAGCGGTCAGTTGTAAAATGAACGAGACATTTCCGCAATGCAACCTAAACTGCGTCGCGGGAGGCACATCATCTGAATCGATGCCAGGAAGACCAGGAGAAAACGAAAATGCTGCTTCCAAGAGCTATTGTTTGTTTCCTCCGGCTTACGCAAGTGTGAAATTTCCCAACACGTCTTTTGTCTCGGCCTGATGTTTCGACCGAATAGACCTTCCCATTGGCGACCCAAATATCCGATTAAATAGGTGGACTCTAACTCAGAGGGGGACCAGAAATTATTAACCGCGCCCCATTGTGCTAGCCCTCCTGTCAAATTTAACTTAATAAAAAAACTACTGATTGATAATATCAATTTTTCACTCTAATGGCGAACAGAATGCGTCTAAACTAAATTTATATGAGGCAAATGGTTACTATTCTATTAAAATAAATTTAAATACCTTGAGGTCTTTGAAGAATACGGAATTCCTTGCCCAGTCCACTTGCGAAAAAAGGTTTTGATCCAACACTTTGCACATGAGTTCGAATAAGTCCACTTCGCACTGATTATACGTCTGATTTTGTAATAGGTTATATAGGGAGTTTTGCCATTCGTGGTCGTCGATGGCTTGGACGAAGTCCCGAATCATGGGCGATACTTTGGACTGGCTCTGGGAGGAAGAACCTTCGTATTGGAACGTTTTCGAAGGCGGGGGCGACGTGTTGCCCGACCAGAGTTTGGCGTGTTCGAAAGCCTGGACGCTTTGGTGGGAGATCCTTTGGTCGTTGACGATCTGCAGAGCGGGCTGAGTCTGAGATCCGGGCATGACGGAGCACATGTTGTTGTTGGAGATGTTTCCGTTCGCGGCCTGGCCGAGGGCCACCGCGATGGGACTTGGTGAGCTTTCCGGGGAGGAGGTGAGTGACGAGACTTGTGGGATTTGGATCTCTTGTTTGATATGGAGGCTCGCGAAGTTGGAGCCCGGCTGGTAACTGAGGGTCACTGCGTCTCCGAGGCCACCCGGGCTATAGCCGCTGCTGTTCCTGAGGGTCTGGGCTGCCAACTGTCTCTGCCTCATCATCTGCAGCTTTCTAGCTCTGTCTCTCTTATACATAGGACCGAATTTGTTTCTACCTCCTCTCATTCTATCGGCACGAACCGCTGAAAAAACAAAAACACAATTTTTCACAATTTATTTTGCAAAGAGTCATCTTCAAGAATGATTTAAGAAAACAATATTAAAACTTGAATCTCAGTCCTTACACAACTACAGAGGGTAGATGGAAGGGTTGGTGTTAAGGCCAGTGTCTAGGGCAATAGAGGAGAGTGAAGGTAGGGTCAGTGACAGCAAAGGGTTGCTCAAACAGTCAAGGACAACAATACGATCAATACAACGCTCTCCTCCCGCCTTCGCCACGTCACCCGGGTGAAAAATATGACGAAACGTCGAATGGAAAAGCGATGTGAGATCTAAGCCTGTGAAATAAAACCGCTGCAAGCTGATACGTGAAATTGTAAAAATCAGCCGAAGATTTTTTGATAATCTTCAATAATGGGAAGTTTTTCGACGGTAGCGCACAGATATAAAACACTAAGTTGTCAAATTTTTGAATATTGCCGACTTAAGAAAACCTGGATCTGGAAGAACCCTGAGAACACTGATTTGGTGGCTGTAACTAACCATCTAATGATCGATGTGCCTTCACCTAAATTGTAAACCTTGCACCATGGAAAGACGAATGGAAAAAAAACATTTAGGGTTTAAGGTTAACATCATTAAGCCACAAAACTCGGTGATCAAAGAATAATTTAAAAAATCCCAAAGAACATAACTTTTTTCAAAAATAAAATATCTCCTAGCTCCCCTTGTTCAATACAATATGTCTCAATTTGAGTCAAAATCTATCTCAAATTGAGACTTATTGTATTGAACAAGAGGACCTAGGAGATATTTTATTCAAAAAGGACATGTATCCCTCGGTTTTTATATTACGCTTTGATTTTGCTTGCCATGAGGAAGGCTAAATATAAATCAATATTGTGCTTAATTTGGACAACTACCATGATCCTTCACCTAAGATCTTTAGTATTTCCAATCAGGAACTTCTAAACTTGACAGGATGAGCAGACATTTAATGCCCTTTAGTACCTGATAACAGGATATTTCACGGCTTAGATTATTAGGAAATGAATCCAAGCATGTAACATAACTTTATAAACAAATTAAATTGACACAAAAACTTTACGATTTGTTTTTGTTGGTTTTGTCTAAGGCATTCAACCACTTACTTTACTTATCACGAGAAAATAGTTCGTATTCAAATATGCTCCTAGGGAGATGTCAACTAAAGTCAGATAACAAAAAAAAAGGCGAGATAAAAAGGGAAAAGATAAATAAGCGTGCAAGACGCAAATAAAAAGAACAACAAAAGAAAGCCCCCCGCCGATTTTTCCGCGTGCGCGTTTTCGCAAGTGGAGAAGAATGAGGAATGTTTTCAGATTGTTGTGTGAAACTATGTTAATTCGGATTGGCAACTCTGGAGTAGGGGGGTCTTTTTATTGTTTCGCCCGTTATCAAGATTTAGCAGCAGTAATTGTCTGGGGAAATATTTTATTGTTCCCCACCCGAAGAGAGGAGAAGTGAGAAAAGTAAAAAGTGTCAAATACTAAGGGGAATCCTCTGATTAGAATATACTGAAGTTTGTCCTAAACTGCAAAACAGAGATGTTACAATAGTGCTCGTATTGCACTAGTACCTATTAATTAGCCAAATAACTAAAGCGGATGTTTGTTGATGTACGAGCGTGTCAAGATGAGCAAAGACTGCACACTTTTAATTTAACTGCTTTGTTTTAAAACTTTAGTAAGTCGTTATAATATGTTTGAAATAAATCAATGAAGTGAAAAGGTCTGCTGGTACACTGTTGTGTCTACATAGAATGCAACAAGGCACAGGGAATGTTCGGTCCTGGTCGTCCTGGAACCAAATACTCAGAACTACTCCAGTATCTTCCAGGCTGAAGTCCATGCGATTGAGAGATGTACTCAATTCAATCTGAACAAAGGGTACAAAAACAAGAATATGTCAGTTATCTTCCGTCAAAACACTAAGCTCAAACACAAGCTCGAAGGAGGTGCTGAATGCAAAACTAAATTAAATATATTAGATATGTAACATCTTTCAATTAATTAAGGTTTTTAGTTGAGATAAAAAAGTCAGTGTCACGAGCGGGATTCGAACCCACGACCTTCGGCTAGATACGCCGCTGCTCTACCACTTGAGCTATTGGGAACCCGCTCTGACACTGACTTTTTTTACCTCAACTAAAACCCTTAATTAATTGAAAGATATTAATTGGTCAAGCGGACCACGAAAACTAGTGAATTTAATTAGATATGTAAAATGAAGTTACTCTCTGCTGGTCCCAGAATTTGTAAGAGTAGGTTCTAAGACCTTATGTGGTATAGTACTCAGTGCCAATGAGTACAGACAAAAAAAATTGAAAATGAATTCCCTTATTGGACACAAATAATCCAAGAACCTTGCTTCCAAGGAAGAAACAGTCAAATTTAAATTTAATCTATCAAAAAGAAGTTTTTATCTATCAAAACCTGGATATTGTTAGGCAAAAGTGTCTTTGTTATGTCGAGTTAGCCTCCTAAAGGTAAAACAGGCTGCTAAAGTCTTTATCAAAAAGAAATTTTGATCTACTTAAAACCTGGATATTATTACGTAAAACTGTCTTTTTTCTGTTGAGTTTGCTTTCTAACGCTAAAACAGACAACTAAAGAGTGTTTAAACAACCAAAAGGAATATGTTATGTACAAAAGCCTTGGTATTATTTTGTAAAAATGTCTTTTTTTCTGTTGAGTTTGCTTCCTAAGGCAAAAGTAGCTAAAGAATCTTTATTCTATCAAAAAGAGGTTTTTATCTATCAAAAGCTGGATATTATTAGGTTTTAAAAAAATTTCTGTTGAGTTTGATTCCTAAGGCTAAAAAGTCAGCTAAAGATTTATTCTATAAAAAAGAGGTTTTTATCTATCAAAAGCCTGGATATTATTAAGAAATTTTTTTCTCTGTTGAATTTGATTCCTAAGGCTAAAACAGTCAGCTAAAGAGCCTTTATTGTACCGAAGAGGTTTTTTTTCTCTCAAAAGCCTGTATTATTAGATAAATTTTTTTCTGACGAGTTTGCTCACTAAGGCTAAAGCAGTTACCTAAAGAGTCTTTATTCTATCAAAAAGAGGTTTTTATCTATCAAAAACTTGGATATTATTAAGTTAAAAAAAAAATTTTCTGTTGAATTTGATTCCTAAGGCTAAAACAGTCAGCTAAAGAGCCTTTATTGTACCGAAGAGGTTTTTTTCTATCAAAAGCCTGTATTATTAGGTAATTTTTTTTCTGACGAGTTTGCTCACTAAGGCTAAAACAGTTAGCTAAAGAGCCTTAATTTCACCAAAAACTTTGTTTCAACCTATCAAAGTCTGGATATTAATACGTAGAAATATCTTTTTTCTGTACAGTTTGATTCCTAAGGCTAAAACATTCAGCTAAAGAGTCTTTATTCTACCAAAAACCTTGGTTTCAACCTACCAAAGTCTGGACATTAATGCGTAAAAATATCTTTTTTCTGTTGAGTTTAATTCCTAAGGCTTCAGCTAAAGAGTCTATCAAAAATAGGTTATTATCTACCAAAAGCCTGGATATTATTGGATAAAAATGTCCCCTTTTTCTGTCGAGTTTGCTCAGTGTCATTTATTCTATCAAAAAGAGTTTATTACCTAACACAAAGCTTGGATATTATTAGGTAAAAACGCCTTATTTTCAGTTGAATTTGCCTCCTAAGGATGAAACAGTCAATAACAATCCAAGAACTTTTGGAAGGAAAGAAGCAACAGAATGCATCAAAGGAAGATAAAAACTTCAAATCCTAATGGCAATCTTAACAGGACACTACAGACCGAATAGACAGTTAAAGAAGATTAGTATAATCCAACACGGCGACAGATTCTGCAAGGACCCAGAAGAAACGTCAAAACACGTACTAACACAAGCAGAACGACGTGCTTCGAGATGTACAACGTAAACCGTCGAAGAAATTTAACCACTGAAACTGACCTAGTAATCAAATTTCTTGGGGAACGGTGTGCGAAGGGTACACGGTGGGAGATGAGTTAGCTCTCAAGGGTGCAGTACTCACCCCGAATGTTACATCTAACATATTTAATTTTGGTCTGCCTCTCCCTGCTTATAACCCAGATTACAGACACGACGAAACCTACGCGTTAACAATGATTTACTTCAAAACCAGTCACGTTCGCAAATAACATCGATAAACATCTGTTAAAACTTCGTTGTTGTCAGGAAACTAGATTGAGTTGTGTAGTTAAAATTTAATGTTGTATGAAATAATAAGAAGCGTTTCAAACGGTAGGAATTTTTTGTTGTGAAATGGCACTGGGTCCGTCTAATCTCGCAGGTTTCGATGTCGCTCAAACGTGTTTCGACTTTGCGCCATCTTCAATGAGGAACTGATTCAAGAAAATGCCTAGGAGCGTTTGAGACATCGAAACTCGCGAGTGCGTAAAGGGAAAAATATTTTAAATTAAGTAAAATTAATTTAATTGTACAATAGAACTTTTAATATTTATGGACGGTTATCGCAAAAATAAAATGCTAGTTACACTAGTCCTGCTTGACAATATTATTTTATCCTTAGTCAAATATTAAACAATATTATCGTTATTTACTTTTTAATTCCATTTCAATATTTACATTGACTAATTGTCAGACTTGTTATTCAGCAATGTACCTAAGATCTTCTTTACCTTTCGAAATATCGCAAGTCCGTAGAGAAAAAAAGTTTCTCTGAGATTTTAGGAAAATTTAGGACAAGAGGTACACAGGTTCAAGGCGGCAATTAAAGAAATTTTCGAAATGAAAGTTTAAGACATCTGTAAAGGTCAGGTTTACTGAATTGAAGGTTGTTGATGTTATAGACTCAATATCAAGCAATCTGGTTGAAACACTCCGCACAGTCGGGCCTCGCCCTGCTTATAACCTAGACGTCACGTCTATCAGTTTGGTCAATTAAACAAAGCCATCTTTTTACCTGCTTTTTCAATACTGCAATGATTAGGGCGCGAGTACCAATAAATAC